GCCGACGCCGGCCATCGTGCCGCCCGCCTTCACCGTCTGCGCGGCCTGGCAGAGTCTCCGAGAGCGTACCCTGACGGCGGAGGCGGTCTGGAGCGCCAGCATGCCGCTGCAGCAGCTGGTGATGTCCTGTGAGACGGGCTGTCGACCGTCAGCCGGCGCCACCCCCAGCAGCCAGTTCACCGCCGCGCCGGCCGGCGTCTGGTACTCGAAGGTGACGTACAGCCGCGTTGTGTGCCACACCTTTACGCCCAACGTGACCTGGGGTCAGCTGATGTCCATGCGGCCCGATAAGGAGGCGATGCTGCAACTGAGACTGCGTGTCGGCCTGAACACGTCCGAAACGTGGGATCACAAGGTCTTCGTACATCCGCACCGGCGTCCGGTCTTTTCCAGCCTGGGTATACCTACGCTACGGCGCGACCCGCAGTTCTTGGTGAGCCGCTGCGACATGCTGCGTCTGCGCGTCTCCTCGCGGGTCCGCCAACGCCAGAGCCTGCGCCGCGCGGCGTGCCACTCCGCCGCCGGCTACGGCTTTGAGACGTGTGCGCTGCGCTGCCATGATGTCGCTATGCTACGCAACAAGCGCCGGTGCGCCTCTTCAGCGCACGGAAGCCGACCGGGCAGCAGGTCGAAGCGGGGAAACTGTTTCTACAACATGACGAAGGCGGAGGTCGCGTCCGGCGAGCTGCGCCGCCGTTGTCGCTGCCCGCCCGCCTGCCGCACGCAGCGGTACGGCGCAGATGCGATGGTCAAGGTCCGGCGCCGCCAGCCGTGCGTCTCGTCGCTCCTCACCATCGTGATGGGTCCGACGCCGGAGCAAGTAGGACGTGGAGTGGCGCTCGTACCCGCCGGTGGCACTCCTCAGCGATGTCGGAGGCTATGTCAGCCTGTTGCTGGGAGTCTCGGTCCTGTCCATGGCGGACCGTCTCGGCGCGGCTTTGGTCCGCTGCCGGGCCAGGCTTGGCCCGGCGGGGCGAGGCAGCGGCCAAAGCCGAGTCGTCACTGTTAGCCCGTGAATTCGGCGCTTCATCGCGATGGCTTTTGGAGCTCTGCTCGGCGACCTCACGTGACTTAATACACTTGGGCACGATTATTTCCTTCTAAGTCAGCACAGGGGACCGGTCCTTGCATATGCGGTCCGTAGCATGGTTTTGAGAAAACATTGGCCCAATTATTTGTATCTCCTGTTGTAACTAAAAAAACAGCGCATTTTTTTATTCGACAGTGCGAAACAAAAAAAGGTTGTGCGTTTTTCAAAAAAGAAACTTTTCGTTGAAGACGTATGTTTCCACAAGTAAATATTTACAAGCGCTAATTAGAAAATATCCAAGCCTTTCCGAACAGCTGTCCTTCGGATTACCCATCACTTTTGTGGGCCTCGGTCATTGTGCACGCGCTGCTCCACGCGCTGAACCGGCAACAGGCGGTTATCGCTTATCATGTTGAACACACGGAAAGGAAACTGGTGTCGCGTTCATGGCCACACGGCGATAACCAATGGTGATGTTGAAACACAGTAACTTTGGTGACCTTGATCAAGGCGCCGCCAAAACTTTCACCGCCGTGACATGCTTAATCTTCCTAATTTTGGTGCATGTTATCTTTATGTATATCAAACAGAGAAACAATAATGAAACATGAATGGTTTTAACTCACGGAGCCGATGACTTCTTTGAACGTGCACAGCCTACTTACGTGACCTTGAGGTCTTGTGCCACCGTTATGTTATCTTACCTTAAACACCGATATTAATAAGTGGTAGGCTAGGTGGCCAGCAATGCACACTACAAGACAGCACCAATAAACGGTGGTAGGAGGATGCGTTCATTCAAACCATACGGGCAGGGGCAGCCGACCAGAATGGGCAGCGTCGATGGAGACCCACCACATCGTCGGGCAGCGGCCGGGGCAGCGGACGGGGCAGTGTTTGGTTTGGACGGAGCTAACAGCCAAAATGCGGCCGAGTGCCCAAATCACAAAGCACCAGCTAAGTATAGCGCATGGGCTAGTCATGCAGATAAATAAGTTGGCTTCAAGCCACTGCACAACAAAAGCCCCCCATTCCGGCTCAAGGGTGGTCCCAAGGATTTCCAAAAGGCAGGATGTCATTAACGGGGGGGGGGGGGGGACGAACTCAGTGCAGGTATCTCGTGTGACGGAGAGCTAAGGTGCCAAGAGCCACGGCCGAGGGGTCTAGAGGTGCCAAAACCCAACGTGCCAAGAGCCAAAAGCTAAGGTGCCAAGAGCCAAAAGCAAATGTTCAAAAGCTAAAAGCCGAATAGCCAAGAGGTGCCAAGAGCCAAGTTTCCCAGAGCCTAGAGTCAAAATGCGCCAAGAGCCAAGGTGCATATAGCCAAAAACCAACGTGCCAAGAACTCAACAGCCAAGAGCAAAGGTGCCAGATGTCAAGAGTCATTGTGCCAAGACGTGCCAAGAGCCATTATGGCAGTCGATGCCAATAGGCGCCAAGGTTCAGGTGATAAGAGTCAAGTGCTAAGAGCCATGGTGTAATGTGTCAAGAGCCAGAAACGAAGAGCCAAGAGCAAAGAGACAAAGTGTCAAGAGCCAAGAGCCAAGAGCCAGATCCAAGGTGTCAACAGCCAGGAGACAAAAGCCAAAGCGAAGAGCTAAAGTACCAAGAGCCAAGGTGCCAAGAGCCAGGAGCAATCTATCATCACCAACAGGCGAGGCCCCGCCCTGCACCTCAGATGCACTGGACGGCTGAGATTTATGACACGGCACGGGCCTTATTATGCCGGATACGGTCACGCCGTGGTAAGAAAGGAGGCCCTCTTCGGACGAAGAAGAGTCCTGCTTCACGACCAGCAGCAGGCAGGGACTGGGGAGGCCCTTGTTCTGATCGACAGAAGGCTCCAGATGTATAGGAACCCATGCTTCACACGCAGGGATTGATAATGCATTAACACACGCACTGCTTGCGCCGCACAGTCCGGCGCCAAGCACGTGAGCACACGTCCGGGCGCAGTACGTGAGCACCCAAGAATGTGTGTCGGCCAGTCCGACCGGCGCGCGCGAGCGTTGACCCAGCTTGTGGACCGTCTGGTCGCGCTGCTCCCCGGAACCGACCAGACCATCTTCCCATGACGGAGAAATCTAGCGGGTAATTAACTGTGAACTGGACGTGGCCAGCTTTGGGTCCACCGGAAGACGAAACGTGCGCGAATGCGGCAAACGTCTGGGCGGCGGTTTGAAGAGATGAGATGCGTAAGACGCAGCGGAGCAGAGGGGTTGTTAAATTTTGATTAGTGAATTGGTTAATTGTCATTGGTACTAAATTTCGGAATCGTTGTTCCGCAGTTAAACACACGCGAGTGGGCGGTAGTGCCAGTCTACCTACTTCGCGCAAGTGTCTAGGTAGCCATACCACTGTGGAACCGAAGCCCTCCTCTCCGTGTCACACGAATTAATCGCGCGCCATGACCGGTCCGTGGTGTGACGCGCCTCGGGCTACGACCCCCATTCACTCGGAGGCGGCACAACTACAGAGACGGCCCGTCGCGCGACTCACACATGGATCGATGCGAAACGCGTGGTCGCGGCAGACAGTGGCGGCAGCGTCGCCTTCTAAATATTCAGGATACGCCTAGGATGGACGCTTGGGGCGCGAACGTGGAGGCCATGGTGCGGCACAATAGCCGCGGCCGCGCATTTCGCGTCGATCCATACGCGGGCCGTACGGCCGGCCGTCTTTGCAGCTGTGCCGCCTCGGGGTGACTGGGGTGGTCACCCGAGGCGCGTCCTCTCACGAACCGGTCCCGGCGGGTGATTCCTTTGTATGATGTGGAGAGGAGGGCTTCGGTCCCACGCCCCTGACCTACTGGCTGGTAGTCATGGGAACAGAGGCACTCCCGAGACACATGAGTCCCAGTTTTAGCGGAAGTTTGACGGCCATCCTAAAGCGACACATGGAAATCCTCGAAACAAGAAGGGCCACTCTACCTGTTTGAGACGTTTCCACAACCCTGGCCCTACCGAGCACTCATCATTCCCTGCACAGCCTCCAGAGACCTTGCATGATGTGCACCCGTGCTACTCGGCTTACCCGTCGCTGAGGACGGTGAGCTGATGTTCAGATACATCAGCTATTAACTCCTTACATATCTTGGCCAAGCAATCTCGCAGTCTGCCGTAATAAATCCGATAGACTTAGTTTGTTTCACGAAGTCGATGGCGTAAAGTAACCGCTATCGTAGATGACAGTGAATTTCTTAAAATGGGACCGTAGACGTGAAACTGACCAAATTCTTCAAAAATAACGTGTAAGCAATACAACCCCCGCGTGGTTGGAACAACCCTATTCGGGGGAATGAAGCTACAGCTACCTTGCTGTTAACTAGAGCTTCAGAGAAGGGAAGGGTCGGAAGGCCCGGGTCCCCACTCGGGCTCGGATATTCAGCCTACCTTGCGACCTCATCTGGGCATAGCGTTAGGCTGTTCGTTGTTCAAACCACTCCGCACATCATGCATAGGATACGTTCAATAAAAACCCTCTCCCACATAAGTTAAGTTACTTGAAACCCTCTCTCCCGTAAACAATCAGTGACACGTAATTTATCGACGGTCCCTTGCTGATGCAAACATTCGCGAAAAAACAGAACGGGGTGAACTGAAAGCCAGTCTATTCCAAACTGAGGAAATCCATCACTTTTGGGCATGGCCCAGAGCAGCGTTATAAGAAACCACAGTTTCATAAAATTCAGTTACTTTATAAGACTGTGGTTTGTATCTCCGTTGTCACACGAGTTTGGATAGTCTCGGGCCAGCGTTCCGTCATTTATTTCCCCACATATGAATTCATATGTGGGGAATTCTGCCGTCCATCATCTAACCCCCTCACTCCCCTTAAGATCTGAGATCCGTTGACTTATGGAAGCTAATTTCTTATTTGGAAGTAATCTGGAAGCAAGTATCCTTTCATAAACGCCGCTTCAAATACACCACTGGCGGAAAACTGTTCGTTACATATCGGTCGCGGTGCATCCTCGTGATAGTTATAGCTGATGGCCGAACCCCCATACGGCCTCCGTCAAAACGAATTATATGCAGCTATTGGGGAGAATCCGGCTTGCCAACCCCCGTATTCTGCAAAAGGCACTGCTGTCATCCATCCCTTGTTTCTGGAGAGGTGCTGTTTAAACTGCGCGATGTGATATTACAGGCAGCGGAAGCTGGGTTACCTTGAAAATGGACATCCTGTTATGATTTATTTCTAATCTGCAAGCATAAAGCAGATTTTAAGCTTTTGGCTCCTCTGTGTTGGTTTGAGTTTTTGTTACACACATTTGCTAGCTTCACTCATTCATTCTCTTCCTATCATGTTAAGCTTAGGACTGCAGAGAGGCATGCAACATATTCACAGACTAAGGCCAGTGTGGCATACACAAGTATGCCACAAGCCACCACTTTCTGGGTACTCCTTTTCCACCTATTCCATTGATGATAGCCTCTTTGGTTTCACTGAAGAGCAAAAGCAGGTCAGTATTCAGGCTGTATTATTCATTTATTTCACAATAGAACATAACCACAGGAATATCAAAATTGACAAAGTAATGGAAGCCTCATAGTAAGTTGCCATGCTAAATTATCAGAAATTTGGTCTCAATCTTTCTTTAGTCACACCCAACTGTTCAGACTGTGCCTGAGAAACCATTGCTGCTGCTCAGTAATTGCTGCAATTGACGAAATCAGTTGTAATTGAGCAACTGTGGTTCATCCCTCAGCCTGCAACTTATGCTGGAGCCTTCTCATGAGCACTAGCAGCCTGCCAGATGTAGCACTGCATTCCTTGATTGGTATGATGAACTATACTGTGGTGAGCTTCATTGCAGTAAACATATGGGTATTCATGATTGATGTGAGTTCTTCTCTTTTTTTAGCTAAGAGCAACTGTGTCTGGATTTCTTCAGAGGTAACTTGCCCCATATGCTGATGAAATAGACAAAAAGGATGGCTGGGCTCAAAGAAAGGTAATGTACCATATGACAAGCAAAGCTTTGAGATGCAAGTATCTTCTTGTGATGTAACACCCACTTGATGTATGCTTGCCGCACTTTTGGTATTTTTGGATGAGTTATGTATGACAGCAGCATACCCTGTCATTCTACCTGATCATCTTTCTTCATTTATCAGTGAGACAATTTCACTTTAAAGTTGTGTAGCCATAACATTCAAAGACTTTGGCCTGAGAGGTTTCTTGAAATACTTCCACCTTCAGGAAGGTTTGTAATAACTTGAAAACATGATTCAGTGCATGTGACTGTGACAGCGGCAATGCCTTAGATACTGTTTATTGCCCAACCAGGCCTTCCCTGCATGAGTTCTAACCTCCCCTTACCTACCCAATTGCTGCAACTGTCTCAGTTATAGCTGTTGGGTGCATCAAAAGCACAATGTTAAGTGAATATAAAGTGTACTGCTTAAACTGTGTATGCATTGAACCCCCATCAGTCCCTGCTTGCAAACTGCATCACTACCTTTCCTGGTGACATTGCCTGCCACACCCTCTTCCCAGCACAATTCATGACTCTGGGTGCTTTGTGATGCCCCTGCAGTAACACTGTAATCAGACCTGGCACTGAATCAACCAGGCAAGCTCCCACCATAAGCCAGGTAACTCAGTCAGTCCATTCCCAATAGCTCGTTTGATGACAGATCCTATGTTTAGACTCACATGCCCATGGTGGGACAGGTTCAAGTCATTCCGAGAGTGTGCTGTTTGTGTGTGACTGGGATGGCCTGTGGCTGGCCTCACTTAAGGTCAGACAAAGTCAGGGGGTAGGATGGACTGTGCCAGGCATTACAACACCTTATACTTTTGCCAAAGCATTCTGCCATTGACCTGGAATTTCATGATGGGATGGTTAAGTCATGGGTCTTGCAACAAGTGCTGCTCAGTGTGTTAATGGAGCTCTCACTTTCTGGCCAAAATCAATCAAGACACCTCTCACCCTCTCCTGGCTGAATGAACCAACCAACCATCTCACCCTTCCCAGCAGGACCAATTAATTAAACCCTCTCACATTCCCCTGGCTGAGCCAGTCCATTAAACACTCTCACCTTCCCCCAGCCGAACCAATCAATCAAGCCTCGTCACCCTTCCCCGGACGAGCCAATAACGCCGGCTCTCGCCGCGCTCTCCCCCGCAGGAGTTCTGGCTGCAGCTGGGCGCGCTGGGCCTGTTCGGCATCACGGCCGACCCGGAGTTCGGCGGCTCGGGTCTGGGCCTGCTGGACCAGTGCCTGGTCATGGAGGAGATGTCGCGGGTGTCGGCCGGCGTGGCGCTCAGCTACGGCGCCCAGTCCAACCTCTGCATCAACCAGATCAACCGGCACGGCTCGCGGCGGCAGAAGGAGAGGCTCCTGCCCAGGGTGGGTGGCGGCGGACGCCGGCTCGCGGCGGCAGAAGGAGAGGCTCCTGCCCGAGGTGGGTGGTGGCGGGCGCGGACTCTGTTGGCGGAAGGAGAGGCTCCTGCCCAGGGTGGGTGGCGGCGGACGCCGGCTCGCGGCGGCAGAAGGAGAGGCTCCTGCCCAGGGTGGGTGGCGGCGGACGCCGGCTCGCGGCGGCAGAAGGAGAGGCTCCTGCCCGGGGTGGGTGGCGGCGGGCGCGGACTCTGTTGGCGGAAGGAGAGCCTCCTGCCCAGGGTGGGTGGCGGCGGACGCCGGCTCGTGGCGGCAGAAGGAGAGGCTCCTGCCCAGGATGGGTGGCGGCGGACGCGGGCCCGTCGGCTGAAGGGCCGTGCGAGAGGCAGGTGCTTTTCTGGTGTGGGGGTTCGCGTGATATAACTTGTGATACATTACTTTTGGGAGTTTGGTTCCTTATGTTTTCTCTATGTTCAGGTTATATGGTATGGTTATTCAGAAACTCAGTATACAGTGCAAATAAATTTGGCTTGATCAGCAAGTACTGTCGAGAAACGGCATCAAATACCTGCAAGCGAGCCCTAGGACGTTCATTATGGATGTTGGTTACCCTTGACGCTTCATCCGTCTCCCCCCCCCCCCCGGCCTATGCTATATAACATTTTTAAGCCACCTAGGTTGTCACATAGATGGCCCCCATATGAACATCGTAGTCGATGCGCCCCGAAGCTTAAATCATCATCAGGTTGTCGCATAGCGCTCAGATCCACTACGGCCTGGGGAGCCACCTCTTTGTAGCTCTGCACTGGGGAGTTGACCACCACCACCACTCCCTCAGCTCTGCATCAGGGAGTTAACCACCGTCACCACTCCCTCAGCTCTGCACCGGGGAGTTGGTCGGAGGTCTCGCCATGTCGGAGGCCGGCAGCGGCTCCGACGTAGTCTCCATGGCAACGCGGGCCGAGCGGGTCGACGGCGGCTACCTCCTGAACGGCAGCAAGTTCTGGATCACCAACGGGCCCGTGGCGGACGTGCTGGTGGTGAGGGCGGGCGCGGGCGTGGTTCCGGTGTGGTGCTTTGGTGATCAGGTGTGGTGTGCGGTCGGGCTTGTGACGTCTTGGTGGGAAGGGAAGTGGTAAATGTTTTTGACCATGTATTGGTGCTGGCATGAATAGTGAGCCCCAAAACACCCTTGCCACTGATTTTGTGCGTGTTTAGTGTAACCTTGTCATGTTTTTAGGCATTCCCTCTGCTAGCAGTTATATATATATATATATATATATATATATATATATATATATATATATATATATATATATATATATGTAGATAGATAGATATGCACCTTGTGTGTGTGTGTGTGTGTGTGTGTGTGGTGCGTGCTGTGCGTGTGCGTGCGTGCTGTGTGCGTGTGTGTGTGTGTGTGCGCGCGCGCGCGTACGTGTGTGTGTGCGCGCGCGTACGTGTGTGTGTGCGCGCGCGTACGTGTGTGTGTGCGTGCTTACATGCGTGCGTGTGTGCACGTGGGCGCGTGAATTAAGCTAACTTCTGAAATAGTTAATATCATTTGGCTCACGCTAACGAGGCTGACATGACAAAACTGCGAGGCCACCTGAACGTGTCAGTCCGGCCGTGAACTGGCGAGAACTGCGCACTGTCTGGCCCCTCATGCGGTTTGGGGACCTTTCGGTCGTCGGTAGTTCTCATGGCGGTAGATTCTCGGGCAGTGCACCAAAATCGCCGCAGCAAAAGGTGCAGTGGTGAACGGGACTGCCCGCCGTCGGAATGGTCTCCCCCAAAACACGCCATGGAAATCGACCGATGTGGCCTCGCCAACGTCGTGGAGGAGATCGATCTCAGCAGAGACTTCACTCTGTCCATCTTTGGGAGACCGCGATTACGATGGGCGCATATGACCAACAGCATACGTCCATAGAAGGTGCAATATCTGGTCTTGGTCCGTAGGTATACGCGAAGACGGACCTGAAATGCAAGCCTCAGCATGGTATCACAACGTTCATCATCGAGCGAGGAATGCAGGGGTTCTCAACCTCGCCCAAGCTTGACAAGCTGGGCATGCGTGGATCCCCCACCGGCGAGCTTGTGTTTGAGGGACTGCTTCGTGCCAGGTGGGCGAGCTCTCCCGCGCTTAAGACGTGGAGCTCGAGATCGTGCGCTCTGGGTTCGATTCCCGTCGTCGGAAACTTTCGTTCGCCTTCTTACCGAGATGTTGCAGCGCCAATGACGCTGGTAGTCCTATGTGTGCATACAAAGCTTCTAACTATGAAATAGGATAACGTGACATAGCACTGAGACAGTAGCATTAGGATTACAGCTTTCATAGTGTGCGCGCGTCCCGACAACCGCATTGAAGCAAATCGTGATTCTGGCCCTCGACCCCGGTGTCCTGCTGAGCAGCGCTCGAGTGCGCTGTCTTGTGACTTTAGTGGCCTTGACCTCCCAGATGAGAACGTGCTGGGCGATGTTGGCCGGGGAGTGTACATCTTGATGTCGGGCCTGGACGTGGAGCGGCTGATGTTGGCCGCCGGACCGGTCGGGTAGGTTAAGGTTAAGGTCATGGTCAAAGACAAGGCCAGTCAAGATCAAATCCAAGGTAACATTCACACGCTATGTCAAGGTCACAACCAAAGCTACAGCTCATGCCAAGGCCAAGGTCACAGCTTAGGGACAGCCATAGTCAAGGATTGATTTAAGGTCAAGGCAAGGTCACGGTCGAGCCTCTTTGCTTGTCAGTCAGTGGTGCAAAGGCTTAGCTGCATCTGTCATCTGACAGGCTGTGGGTTCAGTGTTTAGCGTCAGGCGTTATTTTCAGTTTTTTTTCGGCCACGATTGCTGTCAGAAATGCGAGCGAATGCAGGTCGTTCCATGGTGCCATGCACTCTTGATATCCGATTCAGAGTGTCCCGGCTTGCTATGGCCTGTGCTGTCACCTGACCTTGAACTGCTGAATAAGGCAGCCCTGATGTGACGTCACGTGTCTGACGGAGCCTGCTGTTCTTTGGCAGGGTGATGCAGGCCTGCTGTGACGTCACGTTTAGACTACTGTCACCAGCGGAGGCAGTTCGGCCAGCCTATTGGTCACTTTCAGCTGATGCAGGTAAGTGAGCAGCTGTCAAACACACCGTGGTTTGCTCCGTGAGCTTTTGGTGAACCTTCATCTGCTCCTGACTGGGATAGCAGCTGTCTTGTGGTGTGTTGATTCGATTGCACATGACCTGACATTGGTTAAGTTCTTGGCCTTGAACATGGAAGGTGTTGGGTTGTTCTGGCTATGGCTACTCTGTCTTTCCTCTTGAAAAGTAAATTGGAAAACACCTTCATCCCTGCCCCACCCATTTTTTATGGAGTTTCAAACAAAGGAGAGGAAACTGCACACTCTTGCGGGCATGACAAAGGGACCAGTGGATAGTGCAAATAGAGCACCAGCATGTGTGCGAACTACCTGTTTGCAGTTCAAACAAAGGTGACTACATAGTGTACGATGCCAGTCGCGACAAAGAGGACAGTGAGATGTAAAAAATCAAATCGAAATATTGTGGTGTAAAATCGTAATATTTCCAACCAAAATATAAGATTAATGAGGCAAGATGGAACCCATATATCAAGTGGTTATGCAGATGACTTCATCAACGCCAAAAATGACCATGCTCCGCTGCTGACCGACTCCCCAGGGCAAGATGGCCGACATGTACTGCGAGCTGAACGCCTGCCGGTCGTACCTGTACTGCGTGGCGCGCGCCGCGGACCGCGGTCACGTCTCCGGCAAGGACTGCGCGGGTGTCATCCTGTACTGCGCCGAGAAGGCGACGCAAGTGGCGCTGCAGGCGATACAGGCGCTTGGTGGGTGGCAGCACTGTGGGTCGATGTTTGTAAGGTTGTTCGTGCGTGTTTCGTGATTTATGTTTTATTTATTTATTTGTTTTATTTAGTTATTTATTTATGTGTTTTATGTGTTTATGTTTCACGCGTTAAGCATAAAATGTCGGCCTACGAAGTGGTGTTCACAAAATCCCGTAGATACGTAATCCAGCATTCATCACCACTGATGCCTCGACACTTGAGAAGGTCTTCCAAACCCTCTAAAAACGGACTGCGTGAAGCTCGTCGCATGCAAGGTGATGCAGATTGAAAGACACATTAGAAGATATAGCCACATATGCAACCTTTTGTTGTTACCGCATGTTATGGTGATCAGTGTGCAGATAGTGCAGGCGTCCAAACAAACTCCTGCAGTTCTTGTTTCTGAAAAGCATCTCCCGGCTTTCAGGCGGCAACGGATACATCAACGACTACCCGACGGGGCGGTTTCTGCGGGACGCAAAGCTGTACGAAATCGGCGCTGGCACGAGTGAGGTGCGCCGACTGGTAATTGGCAGAGCGCTGAACGAAGAGTACAAATAGGGCGGAGTTTTGGCGCTGCAGCCGCCGATTGGTGCACGAGGGAAGAGCTTCGTCCGTGGAGGCTGTTTATGAGTGCCTGTGGGGTGGGGCTTTATCGATGCTGGCTGCACATTGGCGCACAATGTGCCAGTGTGTGATAGTGGAGGTGGTTCATGGGTCAAGACAGTATGATGCATGAAGCCAGTAGAGTAACCGTTTTGTCATTTTGTTTTTTGAAGTGATGGACACAGACTTTAAGTACATGATGGAGCATATTTTAGGTGCAATAAACAGATGCAATATGCAATAAACAGAGGGTGCGGTGAGATGGTTGCGGGATTGACTGTGAGATATTGTGTACTCTGATGATGGTACTGGCCATTTTCCTCACCATCCCTCCGGCTAAAACACACTGGAACATGAACGCCCGGATGAATGGCAATGCTCGATGTTCTCATTTGGCATTTAAACTCTGACAATAATAAGGTTATGTATAATGATGACAGACTTCATTAGCTTTTAAATCACTATATTTAGGAGATAGCCTTCCATTGAAAGAGTAAGATATTTATAATTATATAAACTAGTTCAATTTCTTCCTTTATTTCATTCATAAACGAAGCTGATAAAGAATCCAGCGTGACGGCGTTATGACGTTGTCATGGCGAGTAGGGCAAATATCATGAGTTACGCCTTCAGCAAGCGGTTAATTTTTTTTTACCTGAGGAGACTGTGCAGTGAGCATGGGGAGCATATTGAAAAGGGATGGAAACCGGCCCTTCAAAAAGTAGGGAGACAGTAAGCAGCGCTTACAACTTGACCACGAATGTTCACGGTGCAGTGCCGGAAAGGGTCTAGGGCCATTAAAACATATTTTGCTCTTTTAGTGTAGTAGTGTGCGCAAACTCATCGCACTCAACATTTTTTTTAATACAAAAAATCAAATAGAAGCTTGAACAATGAAAGCACTGCAGTCTCTTTTCACGATGGGCTGTCGTTGGTAGGAGCCTTCGCTCGTAGGGTGAATGGACGCGTCTTTACCTCCGCTTCATTATCCCCTTCAGCACACAGCGCACATGCCGGCACCTTTGAGACTTTTCCGGCGCGGTTACAATACACGCCGGAGTGTGAACGCTCCGGAGTGTGCACGTGTGTTGTCCGCTACTGTCGTTATTTGTTTTGGACGTGTGGGTGGTGGGTTTCAGCACGCTGACATAGCCTGTTAGTGAGAAGTAAGTAAATTTTCAAAAAACAGCTGTGTGGATACCGCCAATGGGACCCAGCGCGGATGCCTCTTTTAGGGACGTATTGGCACGTTACGTGGCTGCCGACAGCAAATTGGAAATGACCGTTACAAATTCTCGCTGAGTGCCGGGCCGTTTGCCCCTTTAGACTTTCCTGTCGGCGTCCCTTAGCAAGAGCTCTGTGTTTGGTGGTTTTAATGTCTTAGCTACAGGTGGTAGGTGCCAGATTTTTTATTATCATTCAAACATGCTAGTTTTTGTCTTCTCATGCAGCACTAAGCTCTATTTATCTGATATTTGCTATGCTGGGTAGGGGATGGTTTCCATCTTGCAACTCCTTCTGTAGCTGCTGGGCTCAGGAATGATTGTTGTAAGCATAAGTGAGGGTTTATTTTAGAATCTTAATACCTACAACAATACTTGAGAATGCAGACAATTGATGGGTAGCCTGGTAAGTATTGCATTAAACTACACAGATGGCCAAGCTGGATGTATGGCTGTTATTGTGTACCAAAACTGCCAGATGTGCTTAGAGCCACCTTGCTTAAGAGCTGGCAAGTTGGGCATTACACAAGAGATATGTTATCAATTTTGATACAGCCTGTATTGGCCTCTACATGATCTGTTCAGGCAACAGTCTTGTGCATGAAAAATATTACAGAAGGGAATTCTATAATGATCCTTTCATAGGAGGACCTGCTGACAGTCATATCCGTGGAGTGGTGTGAGCTCCCTAATTTACTGTCCATAGGTGCCAGGTGAGAAGTGTTGTAGGATGTGCATAGAAGCACCATCATTATGAGGTACCATTGATTAAAAATTTGTTAATGGCTTTTGTCCTGATCTTCCTAAAAGTGAAGTACATTACCATACAAGTTTTGATATATCAGCACATTTAAAGCACAGACAATCTCAATATTCCCAAGGAGACATGATGTCAATAACAAGAAGTTTAGTTCATTGGGTAGAAACATAGTGAAGAAATTCACAAACCCACAAACTTAAAACTTTTGATGTGTATATGCACACTATGTGCTGCATATCTTTATTCACATATGCCATCCATGAATGATACACAGGCATTAGTATGTGTGATTGTTGGTATCCAGAGGTATATGTAATTGAGGTTATGAAACATGGATGCCTTTGCCTATCTCTCATCAAATACATGGGTGCCTGAGATCAGAGAAACATGAAATTAAAATATCTCAAAAGGCATTAGCATGGTCTGTTTGCTACTGGCTCCCATACTTTGGTCCTCTTTAGAGAGCCCTTATATGGCCAGACTCCCACCTGGCAACATTCTGGGTTTGCGGTGCTCCTATGTGCAAATGTAAGCTGCCCCAGCTGCCAGAATACATCTCTCCTTCTCCACCTCAAGCTAAGCAAATCTGAAAGCCTTCAAAGAGCCCAATAATGACAGGCTCCAGCAGATGTTGTCAGAAAGATTTTTGAAAAGTTGGCTAGGTTTTCAGGACAAACTTTGAAAACAGCAGAATTGCATGCAAATCTGGCTAAAATGCTTTAAAAATATTGGCACAGGCACACATGGCACCACCCAGCATATGCATCTACCTGTTCAGGGCCAGCAATGCTCTGCTGGTATCAGCAGTACCACTGGCACCAGTTTGGAGTGTACTTAATGCAGATAAGCATGTAAGGGTATGAGCAAAGTGTTGTTTGCTACACAAAGCTCTGTTGGACCAGGCACTGGTCAATTACAGGTCATACTGATATGGTGCTGGCTGTTGTCCTGTGTTGCTTAAATTTTGCATTTCAGAGTCATTGTAGCAACTGGCAACAATTGACAATAGGCTGTTGTTGAATTTTTGGATGCCTTCAAACTGGTTGCCTTGTGAAGAGATGATAGACTTTTTCCCACATACAAAACTGGTGTAAAGATTGCCACATGCCATGAAAGTTGTGATGCATCATGAAGCCATTGCACTTGACACACCCTGAAACCCAATAACTAACTAGCTACCAACTCACTGTCACATCTCATAACCATCTTACATCTATCAGCTGTTATGTCACATCTCACATAGTTAAGTGATATCTGCTGACCACTGGTCAGTGTTTCCTGAGACCAGAAGTGATGTGTTCTCAATGAAGAAAAAGACACCATGTACCTCACCTAAATGTCTCTTTTGGCTTTCAGCTCATCAGACACTACTGCTAGTGCAAGACAATGGGTTTTGGTGATCGTGGTGGAGGCCGAGGTATGTATACCATGTGCAAGTGATGACAAACCATGCTAGATGAAAGGAATGATGTTGAGGATTTCTGGCTCCTTTTGTTAATGTTTGGAACACTTTGTGTAGCTGGTAATGCAGGCAGCACTGCTGTTTGCCTGACAAGAGTGTCTTGTCTGGAGTGTTGTGTTCCTCCAAATGTGTGCATGTCTTTTGGCACAAGGCGCAATACATCTAATTTGTTGGGATGATCCTCATTTTTTAGGATGGGGTGGGGATTCCAGTGACATCAAATACAGCCTCATTTATCGCTTGAAATAATGTTTCCCATGTTTTTCAGGTGGCTTTGGGGGTCGGGGACGAGGTAAGATATAAACCTGTTCTGCTGTTTTAATGTCATTGCATTGGGCATTTGGGGGCATCTAGCGTGACATATGTAGGAAAATGGAACCAGAACCAGCTGGTAAATGAAACCAGAGTCAGAATCGCGGGTGTTTGGGTTCCCAGATTTGCTGCAGTCATTTAGCATTCTTCCCATCATGCAGTGACATCACACATGTTTGGATTTGTAGCAAAGGAACTGACCATGATTGCAGTGTTTTATTCAAAATGTCCCCTATTTTCTGTGGGATGTGCTGCAGTGGAACATTGTGTAGCTAATTATGGAACTGCTATTCAAGAGGCCCCATGTTTACCACTCACTGTGCACATGTGAGCTATTTCCAAGTTGCTGGCCTTATAGGTAATAAACTGCCACTTATTCTGAGATTGAATGAGTTGGTTCCAAATTTGGGCTTTCATTTCAAGTAATGATTTCACTCTTCCTCGCCATGACGGGGGATCAAACTTCGGAAAACGCTGAACATACACCTGCTCGGCGAAATATAAATGTAAAATAAGTGAACGGAACTGCAAAACCTTTGACCCACCCAGCTGAGGGTTCACACATACGCCGTTTCTCACACGAGACCCTTTTTCGGCAGGCTTTGGAGGCGGCCGCGGAGGTGAGCCCGACCAATACGACCATCGTTTCGCCCCGCTTCGACCCTCGTGACCTCTTCCACCTCTGTGACCTCTGGTCTTCAATAGCCGCGGGGCTACTGGCTATCGTTGCGGCTTATTGAAGAAAGCATACACGTTGCTGTGTTCATTGTTTTTTTCTGCAAATGGAACGTTTACTATTTTTGGCGTTCGGCGTTTCCCGCAGAAAGACTGAGAGGGTCAAACTTGTCGTTGCGTGTCGTGTTCTCCACGGCGAATTTTGCTCAGAACTCACGCTGTTGTTCAAAATATGAGCGGACGCGTGGTACGATAACAGCGGAGTGCGGCTATTATGGCTCGCTCAGTGGGAACCCGTGATGCTCTGCATGGTGGGGCCAGTAGAGGTGCCAGCTCTGAACAGTGTGTGCATTCCCCGCTGACCCTGCCTGGCCCTGCCTTCCCCTTCCTACCCTTGTCGTTCTCTCGGTGCCTTTTTGTGTCCCCATTTGGCGCTTTCTGCCTCTGCGAGCCCGGTGTACCCATTTCTGAACCTGCCTGACCTCGCACGTCCGCTAGGACGCTGCCGGTCCGTGCCGTACCCCATCTAACCTCCTGGCCTCATCAAGTCATCCTGACCCGTTTGACCTTGTGTAACCTCTCCTCAGGTCGCGGTGGCTTCGGCGGTGGCCGGGG